TCCCATTTCACCCTCCCCAKGGCAGGGACACCTCCCACTGTCCCAATGTCCAGCCTGGCCTTGGRCACTCAAAGGGATCCAGGGGCAGCCCCAGCCCTGGATTTCTGCAGTAAAATTATTTGTAGCACACAAATCCTTTTTTCTCTTGGAACAGTAGCTTTTGGAAGGTGAAAATCCAGATGATTAATCAAGATATTAACAGGAGCAGATTGTTAGATTGTTCTGATTGTGTGGATCCAYGTTCTATTCACAGTCTTTCAATCTTTTTCTATTTTGAAACACCAAAAAATGGCTTTTTCCTCTAAGACAGGCCCCATAGGGTTGGAAAATCACCCTCCACCCTGCCCTATATGTGCAGAAATACATTACCTTTRCTATTAATATCTTTTCCCATATTCTTAATGCACAATGGATTGTTTCCTTTAAAATAAACAGGCAGAACCCAGTAAAACAAATCCAGGAAGCTTTAAACTGTTAAGGAGATGTTGAGAGAGCCATAATTCAGTGAAATCCTTGGGTGGGTGGCCCGTGGGCTTGGGCAGCCTTGTTGGGGTGGAAGAAGCTTTTTGACACCACATCAGTTTGCAAATATTGATTTATGATGGATTTTTTGTTTGATTGGTGGRATCTRGTGAAGATTTTGTTAGGGAAGGACRAAAAATTGCTGMATGAGGGAGGGATGGMTGMAATGAAGTARCAAATTGCTGAACTCTGAAATATTCCCCTTAAATTTAAATCCAGTATTTCAGGCTTTGAGTGAATTTTAATTCAAAACTTGAGTCAGTAGCAAGGTTTGAGAGMACAGTGATGCTCAAAAGGAGGAGTCTTTAAAGGTTCAGGATTGGTGGTTAAGGAGATGTTGAGAGCTGTAATTCACTGAAATCCTTGGATGGCTTGGGTGGCCTCCTCAGTGAGGTGGCAGAAGATTTTTTGACACCTCATCCTTTTGCAAACATTGATTTATGATGGATTTTTGCTTTGACTGATGAGCATTTTGTTAGGGAAGGACCAAAACTTACTGCATCAGGAAGGGATGGCGACAATGAAGTAGCAAATTGCTGAACTCTGAAGTGTTCCCTTTAAATTTCAATCCAATTTTTCAGTCTTTGAGTGAATTTTAATT